AAAAAAAAAAAAAAAAAAAAAAAAAAAAAAAGATTTATTTATATTTTTTAACACATAGTAAAAGAAAAAAGGAATATATAATTTTGCATTTGTTTAAAAAATGTAGCTTTAAATTGATCCCTATTTAATTATTAATTACTCTTTCCTTTCATGTTATAGTTATCTTATAATTCCTATAATTATTGATATAATTTTCTTCACCATAATAGGTTGGGCGATCTGTTCCATCTCCTGCTCGGCTCTATCGAGCACATTTGGTACATTGGGAACTTTGTGCTGTTCTACTCTCTGCTCACTACAGTTTGTGTAGAAAATTGCTGGAATATATGACCCTATTACCAGCATGGCAGAAGTTGAAATTAGGTAATTTCTTTTTAACAAAAATATATTGCATTTTCTAAAGTTATGGATTTTATTTTTATTTATATTATTATTTATAAAATTTAAATTTCTTTTTGGTTTTCTATTGCAAACTTAACTTACAGATCAACGGGTATTAAAGAGTTATAAAAATCAGGAATTTATTATTATAATTTTGTTCTTAACATTAAATAGCTATTAGAAGGGATTATTAAATATTAATTATAATAATCCATCTATGTGTGCTTTACTAAGAATTATTGTCAGAAAATATATGCAGAAAATAAGCACATATCTGTTTACTCAATAAAAATTTATAATTTGTATTTTGCAGTAAATTATTGCTTATCAAAAATTGTTGGCATTTGATCAACATAATTGTAAATTATGCCAGAGATACATGTGTTAATGTATCTAGATTTTTTTTAAAACATATATTGCCTAGAATAAATCCAGTAAATTAATATCTATCCTTTATCCGCCTTCCTTTGTTTGTTTGTTTAAATTGTTTTTTTTTCTTTCTAAATTAGCAGTTTTTTATTAAATCTGGTTTGCAAGCTAATATAATATTTTTGTTTCCTCTAATCTTTCTTTATAAATTTTTTTTGACTGTATCAAACATTATATTTTTTTGGTAAAACTTGTTTTTATTAATATTTTTCTTAACCATTTACCCACAGAGCTAATAATTTATAATAATACGAAAAGTATCTTTATGTAAAAAGCTGTTATGCAATAACACATTTGCAATTAAATTAATTTAATATTTTATTCATTTAATTAACAATTTAGTTTAAAAATATAACAATTGTGAGATTGGAGAACCAAATGTGTAAATTTTAGCATTAAAAAATTTTTTTTGATATATAGTCTTGCTTATTTAAGAATAATGTTAACAAAGAAATCACCAGTCTTTACCTTTTTAGAAAAGGAACATGTTTAGGGCTTTTTGTATCCCAGAAAAGAACTGGTAGTAAAAATAACTCATTTCTAGATTTTCTTAAAAAGTAAATTGAAAGCTTTTACTATTCTTAACTAATAACTATCAATCACATATTCTTCTTCCCGGAGTAGTAATGATGCTGTATGTATGTTATACTTAATATAATAAGTATAATGTTATACTTGTAAGTCTGTTATATAAGTAATATGTTATACTTATAAGCCTTGGTAGTCGGGGATATTTCAATCCTCTCGAAAACAAAGTGATTAAAAACTTTTCTACCAATCTTTTTCAAGGAATAAACAGCACTTCATGTTCCGGAAAATGAAACATTAGCATTTAAATGGTTGAGTTACTATAGTTACCTGCTATATTTCATTATATTTCAGATTTTTTAGATAGTAACCCTCATCTAGAAGGAATAAGTGATTTTGCTAAGGTAAGTTTCTGTTATTCTTTTTTAAATTTTTTTTATTTATATTAATAGTTATTTTTTTAAAATAAAATTTTTGATATTTTATTTTTTATCTGTGTTTAACTTTGTTTATTAATTTCTTTATTTTAAGTAATTTTAATTTTATCTGAATTTGCTTTAACTTTGTTTATTCATTTTTATTCTAAATTAAGTTTAATAAATTTTTTTCATTACATTAAATGTTTGGAAAAAAATAAATTGTTTACAAAAATGAATGTCTTATTGTATCCCATTACAGTCAAATTAAATGGTCAAAGCGATTGAAAAAGTTTCGAATTACTCTTTAGTTTAGATTTTAAATTCAATGCAACTTTCTTTCTTTGCATCATTTAGTGATTTGGGACACACATAAAACAGTTGTGGTTAATGTGAGTCATAAAATGACTTTTTAGCATATCTAATCTTATTTGGATATTTTAATTACAGGTTCAGATTAGGTCAAAAACAGAAATAATAATTATCTCTTATCTCTTATTTGTTTTAATGTGTAGCTTAAGTCAACACTGTCGTCTGATTTAATATTTTCAGGTTCATTTATAAAAATGTGTTTTTAACTTTAATTGAACATTCTAGATACACAATGATTTATATTCCTAGCAAAACCTATTTTATTCTTTTTGGGTTAGCAATTTTACAATTTTATATGGTGAAAAAGGCACAAATCAAATTTTTGCAATTCTTGACATATAACAGTTTTATAGTTAATCCTCAGAAAGATTCAAATAAAAAAAAACACTGTTTTCAGTACACAACGATTGAGATTTTCCTTCTCAAATAGGAGGGTGATTGCAGAATTCTTTACATACTAGAACTAGTAAATCCTCTTTTTGGTAACCAAGTTTATATATTTGGATATTATATTTTTATTAAAGTGTACACAATTAAAAAGTTCTGCACCTCACATTCTATCTTTTTTTTTAATAATAAATGGTAGTGTATAATGTATAAAAATAGCTTTTCTTAAATTTGAGTACTATTAATTGTGTTAATCACTCCAGGGTAATAAGCTGATTCAGATAAATTTATAGACAATATAAATATTTTAAAGAAATGCATAATTAAGAATAAAAAAAAATATATTCCTAGCATTCACTTTAAATTATATGTTGTAAAAATAAGTTTTAACTGAAACCATGGGCATTCTGATCACTTATATGTTGGTGTGAATCTGTAAAACCTTTTTAAAAAATGCAAAAGATTTGACTTTCACAAAAGGATGCAGTTATCAAAAACTTTAATGTGATGTGTGATGCAGTTTTTAGGTATATGTTATGCAGGTTTCTAAGCTGATAGCATTTTCTCGAATTGCCACCTCCTGTTAAAAGTTGCATTTATTATCACTCAAATAAAATCTTATCAAATTCAGATATTTTGGGCTTCTTAGATGAAATTATTTTTTTTTTTATTGGGCTATAATTTGAAAAAGATCATGAGATTAGTTGTTTTTAACCTAGAATTTTGTGGTTCTAATAGTTTCTAACTATATAACATCTCAACAGGAATGCTATAAGCATGTTAAAAGTGGTCGTCTTGTCCCATCAAAGGAACAACTGTTTGGACCATATGAGGTATAGTTGAAACCATACTGTTTAGAGAAAACATCCATTAGTGTATGAAAATGTTTATAATCTCATTTTCATTTTAGGGCATGGAATCTGAAGATGAATTTTTTCTTAAAGCTAACAGTGATATTGCTCAAATTTGTGGAGCTCTTATACTTCTTTGGCAAAAATTTCTGGAGATTGTTGTTGGGAGGGAAAAAATACGACAACATTTATCTCGTCAAAGACACTTCCAGCGAATCAAACGCTTTTCTGAAGCTTTTTTTATTATTGAAAGAACACGAGATTCTGTTTTATCTCCGTGCGATAGCAGGTATTTTATACAGTCACCTTTTTAAGTTCTTGATGTGTTTTTAATAAATTGTTTACATAATATTTTTATTTGCTTTAACTTTTTTTTAAAATTTGGCATTTCAATTTCTCAGTTTTCATTTATCAATAATAAAAACAAAATGAAACCATTTTAGAAATACACTAAAACAAATATTAAGAGGATTTTCATGGAATGGGAAAAAATTATAAGACTAACATCAAAAAATGTAAACTTGTGAAAAAATTGTATAAAAAATGCTTGGCTTTGATATTTGCAGTTACCTTTAAATGTTACAAACTGCAAAGTTGATGCACAATTTATTTACATTTCTTAAGAATAGAAAAGTGAGAAATTTTTCACAAATGTTAAATTGTTGTTGCTTTTTTAACATTAATTAAAAAAAAATCTCTTAAATATTAATTATTTATAATAATTATATCAATTGAAACAAAACAATTTTTGTTTTTTTTAATCAATGACAAAAAAAACTTAACAAAAAAAAACTTTTTATGTGAATTTCAGATAAAAAGTGATGAATGTAAAAGTAAAACAGAATGCCCATTAAAAGCAGGGTTGGCCTTTTGTCTAGAAGAAATCTATTTTTTTCAGAACACTTGAAAAAAGTGAGGGAAAAAAAATCTAGCAAAAACTGGACTAAATGGAAGAAACTGAAAATGACCATTACAACTAATTAGCAATTAGTGTTATAAGACTATTTTAAATTTAATCATATTACATTTATTATAGTGCTAGAAAGTTAAAAGTTTTTCATGTTTACTGTGAAGAAAACAAACTATTTTTAATTTTTTCTTAGTTTCATAAATTATTTTAAAAATCTATATATCATATTATTTAAGTGTTGGTTTGAGTATTCACACTTAGCAGTGTTTAATTATAAAAATTAGCATGTTATTTGTGATTGTGAATTCAATATGTTTTTTTAGTAGTATATGTGTTAAGTATAGTAAAACCTGTCAAGTTGTCCGCACTTGTTTTTTACCACCACCAAGTTGATCTCTATTATGAGGAACTGAATTTATTCTGCATAATTAAAGGGAGCAAAACCTTTGTAACCTGACCACCTATCTATCATGTATGTGGATTGCAGAAGTTAATCAAATTTGTCTAGAGACGTTATTTGAATGCTACTCTAAGCCCTTCGTAAGCTGACTGGAACAAAAACTTCTATGTCAAAATTTTCTATGCTTTATTGTTATTAAAATTTTCTATGAGTTAGTGAAATAATATCAAAAGCTAACCAATACCCTTTAGTAAGTTGACTATATGAGAAAATATTAAAGGTTTTTGTAAGTATAACAGTAAATTTTAAAATGCTGGAATGATTAGATATTAAGTATTCTAATTTTATATGTGTTCTTCTATATAGCTGTTTTAAAAAAATAATTGATAGTAACTAACTGGTATGCATCACTAAAATATGTGTATTTGTTTCTTAAACTTATCAGTTTAAAATTAAGATATATGTGACTAATTGTAATTCATTCTGTAAGCAATATCATTTCTTAAAGATAAATAGAGTTTTTGCTTACTGAAATTGTAAAGTCATATTAAAATGATTTAATTTTATTTATCTTTATTTTGATTATTAGAAACTTTACTAGAAGACTTTACTTTATTAGAAATATATGAATAATATGATTAAAAATAATGCTTCGCCTCCCTCTAAGTTGATGACCTGTCTAAGTTGACCATTACAGCAGTGCACTTCAAGCGGTTAACTTAATTGAGGGAGATGGGTCCTCATTTTTTTGTCATTTCTTATATTGTGTTGGATATGGAGAACTTTTCTTTTACCAAAACGAGATCAAACTTTTTTCCAGACCTTTTTTCAGTGCTGATATTTTAATTTACAAATAATAAAATGATTATTGGTATTTTGAAATAGAGATTCAAATGCCAGTTTCAATGAGTTCTTTGAATGATAAAATGAATGAGTTATTTGAATGATACAAAGAATGAGTTCTTTTAATGATAAATGCCAATTAGAATGAGTTATTTGAATGATACAATATAACTAAATCAAATTGACTGAAGGTATCTACTGCATTTAATGTGTTAAAAGCATTTTTTTAAAATATATTCACTCAGAATGTATTTATAATCTGAATTTATGTTCTAGTATTGAAGCCTATCAAGATGTGTCTGAACAGCTGAGAAAGTCTTCTTATCTTACTCTACTACCACCTTTGGAAGTAGAATGTGTGGAGTTTGATGGTGATTTAAATTCTTTGCCAATTGTATATGAAGAGCATTATCAAGAAACTGCTAGAAGAGGATCTGGAAACAGTCAAAGTTCACGTATGTATTTAATTTCTTCATTTACAGAAAATAATTTAACTATTGAAGTTTTACTTTTCATAGTTCTATAATTTTTTTTATCACATTAATGTTTAATCAAAATTCTTATTGTTTTCATAACATTTATCTTTAAATTAATTGTTCTATATTTCTCAAATGATTTTCCTATTTAGTTTCTTACCTTGATTGCAGAATACTTCTTAACATATGCATATTTTTATAAAACCTTGCTATAAAAATATGTCTGTATTTTCACTTGTGTGGTACAATCACATAATTATTAACCTATGAGTCGTCCAAAAGTTTTTATTTGCAGTTAGTAAATAATAAAGTTGAAAAAATTTTTTAAAAAATTTATTTACTTTGCTATATAAAAATATACACTACCAAGCAAGAATGGAAATAACACTTTTAGTTTCTGACATTTTTTGAAAAATTTCTCTAATAACTGAAATACGTGTACATTATGTATATAAGTGTCTATTTCTCTTGATATTTTTTACTTGCCATTTAGTAGTTAGTGGGCCTTAAAGATTTTTTTTTTTTGCAAAATTAGTTCTCCACACAACTATAAAAGATTTGGAATTACTGGATTTCGGAAATTCATGATTCAATTCTCATTGAGTATAATCAAAAGAATGTTTTCATTTTGGATTTTAGAGCTTTGCCAAATGACATGCTTCCAATAAAAAATTTAGAAGTCCAAGAATTAAAGTTAAGTAAAAAAAAAAGTTAATGGTGCTTTTCTGCACAAATGTGATAGGTAAGGATAAGATTGAGCCTTTTTTTTAGCTGAAAATAAAATGCCCAAATATCTCAAGAATGAAGTAAATATATAAATGTCCATTTTTGCAAAGCTGCTTACCACTTTAGATTGTAACGAGAAAAAACAAATCAGAAAGGTCATTCTCTTCATGGAGAATGTTACAAAGTCGAAAATTAATGAATATGAAAATAATGAATAAATTCGAATAATTGATGAATACCTGAAAGTTTTGGACTTAGCAGCAAGATTAGTATTTAGACATTTTTCTGTATATGCAAAATAAAAACTTTTTTCTGTAATGCATTTTAGTTAAAAAAGAAAGAACTATCTTTTGTTTACTGTCATTAGAAACTGTTTGCTATAGCTATAAAAAAGGGAGGTTGTAAAACCAGGTTTATGAAACCAAGGAAGGAAGATGATTCTTGTGAAACAGAACAGATGAATGAGAAAAGTTTCAAACAAGAGACTGAAAAACTTCAAATGACAGAGTAAGAACGTTTAGAAATCATCAAAATTAGAAGATGAAGAAGAAACGGAAACTAATAAGCTCACTTCATCTTTTAGAACTTAAATGATTTATAAAAAGGATGAAATTATTACCACTGCAACATGATAGATACTACATTTTTAAGGAGGTACAACAATCATCAAATGTCATATGAAGGCACTTCAAATATTGAAGTGGTGATGATAATGTAGTTTACAATTTGGAAGAAAGGGTACAATAATGTTAACAAAACGATATTAAAAAACAATCCACAATTATAGGTTTCTTCAAAAAGTAATGAAGTGTAAAGAAAAAAAAATTATTTTGTAAATTCAAGAATAAAGTTACTTTATATTATTTTTAATATATGACTACTACTATTAATATATATTTTAAATTGTTGTTTCATTTTGTAGTTTAGTTAATTATTTTTTTTTACATCCAGTAATACGCTTACTTCTTTCAAAGTAAGCTGCTGATTAATTATTAAGTTTTGAAATCACATTGCAAGCTTTTTACAGTGGATAAAATCTCCCTACATGTTTGAAACACTTGCTTAATTAAGTAACATAATGTGGAACAAATGATATTTGTGAAAGTGGGGCAGGTAGGGTTAGAACTGTAATAAAATAATTAATTCGATAGAAAAATAGCTTTCTATAACATTAGTTTGGATCAAAATCAGCATGGATGTAAGTTTCATATTATCACCAAGAGAAACTAATTTTAAATTAGTTTCTCTTGGTGATTCGCATTCATGTTAGTGATGATGGTGAATTTGCATTCACTGTTGGTTATATTGAAAAAATAATTTTCAATATAGTGATATTATATTTATTTTGCTTGCATTATTTTATAACTGACATTAACTAACATTAGATTCTATTATATTCTGATGTAAAATATATTGGGATAGTCCAGCATCATCTATGTAAATGACTAAAAAGAAACAAGTTGAGTTAGCATTACACATTCATGGCTTGTTGAAATGTAAATTTTTAATGTAAGGCTTGAAACGTCTATGTGTTTATAACTTAATATAATATGACCAATCTTTGTACCAATAAATTTGAGGATGAAAGAGTTTTATGTTTTCTATTTGATAACAGATACGAAAATTTTATTTTCTTTGTTAATAAGATTAGGAAAAAAATCTTGGAAAATTGAAAATCTTTATTACAGGGTTGGCAGGTTTTTGACATGTGACAGTTTTTGACAGTTTAAACCATGGTTTAAACCGTCACGTCAAAAACCTCACTGTCAAAAATGTCGAAAATGTCAAAAACCTATATTCATATGTGAAATTTAATTAATACATAAAATTTATATATTTTTTATAAAGGATAGTGTTTCTAAATATGTTCTAGAAAAAATAAATTTAAAATTTTGAAGAAACACTTATATTTTGAATAGTAACCAAAATCTTGTACTTTTGAAAACTCACATCTTTTGTAATATTATGTATTCATTTTCATGTGTTATTGAAAATCTGCAGTGATATTATTAAGAAATTTATTTATAACCAAATTTAGTGTATAGTATAGATTATACTAAAAATTAGACATTTTTAAAGATAAACATTAGCAGTTTTGTACATTAGACATCTTCTTTTAAAGAAAAATCTTTTTAATATTCTTTTAAATCTTCTTAATAATCTTTTTAACATAAGACAATACAAATTTAAGTGCTTTCTGTTAAATACACAGAGTAGTTAGTGTCGATTTACAGTATATTCAGCCTATTCATTTACTATGCTGAAAATTTAGTTTATCCAAATACTTGTGAATTTCATTTTGCTGAATACTATATAGTTTTGTTGAATATCTAAATATTCAGCTGTTGAATAATTACTTCTTGCTTTCAAGATATGCATTATTTGTATTCTTAATACAAGTGGAGAAAAAAAAATTAAGAGATAAAAATTGTTTTAAAATGATAAGTGTAATAATTATAAATAAATATAATAAACAATATGAATTATATTTATCATTATTCACAAATATAACTACTTTTAAATTCAAATTAACATACTGGATAATAAAGATATTCGGTATAACATTAAAATTTTTTTTCATACACTTGTATCAAGTTTGTATTTATACAACATAACTTGTAAGTTCCTTATAAATATTAGTTATATGTTCCTTATATGTCAAAAATGCATAGTAATAAACTTTTAATTTTCTTAAGTATCAAAAAGAAAAAAAAATTTTTTTTAAAATATAAATATTTAAACAATTTTTGTGCAAAATTTTTCTGCACATGCATTTGAATATAAATTTCTGAGATTTTAAATCTGTTATTTTACCTTAATTTTAATTAAAAAATATTTTAAAACCTGCTGATTACCTATAGTATAATTAAATTTCAATATAATGCATGGCAACTGTTGGTAGTTTTGAAGTTTATATATTTTCTTGGCAAACTTCAGTTTTTGACATTTTTGACAGGTTTTTGACAGTTTAAACCAGTATTATACCCTTGTCATGTCAAAAACCACTTTTTGACGTCAAAAACCCAACCCTGCTTTATTACCTTTTAACATTCATTTGAAAAAAATAAAAATAAGAAATTTATTTTATATATCAGAACATTTTTTGTATTTAGCTATTGAAATTTAAATTATCTTTTTGTACATAGCTTTAGAATATTAGCATATAACTTTAGCCCACTCATTTTTTGAATTACTTAAAATGCATGTTGATTGCAAATAATTTTAAGTTGTATAATTAATTTAATAATTAGCATTTGTTGATAAATATATTATATTGAATCAATAAATCATTTAAATAATTCAATCTCTGAATTTTTATTCTTATTAATTTTTTTTTATTTGCCTAGAATCCGATTCGTCCACTAGTTTGACAGATGTTAATTTTCTTGTTGAGGAGAATATTGATGAATCTAGTGATGCTATTCGAAGAACATCCCAGGGATCTCTTGGCCAAAAATATAGATCGCCTGATATTACTGCTACTCCTACTAGTCCATCTGCTTATTCTTGGTGTCCTGAATCTATTTCAACTTCACTATCTACCAAATCAAGTTGTTCAGCAATAAAAAAGCCTTCTTTAAAGGATAAAATTTTTAACAATGCCAGAAATGAATTTGAAAATGAAAGTGAAGAGTATGTTGTACCTTCTAGTGCATTTACCAGAATCAACCAAAAAATTGCTGTTCGATCAAAAATGAAGCTCCGTTCCAGAACTGTAAATTTTTTACGCCAATTAAAAAAACCTGGGCAAAGCTCGAACACTGTTGTTTTATTAGGTGTCAAAAAGTTAGATACATGCAGTTCAGTTGGTTGTGGTGGTGTTAAATCTTTAAAAATACCATTTGCTTTAGAAAGCGGTATACGGCATTCTCAAAGTACACTTTCTGTTATGAGCACTTTGTACTCAGAAGCAAGCTCTTCTATTCCTAATAGTGAATCTATGCCTGATTTGACATCAGGGTATGTTCCACCTCCTCCACCACCACCACCACCTATGCAAAAATCTAAACTCTTAAATGGTCATTTTGTGTATTTATCATCTGAGGTACCTAAACAAAAAGAAAGAAAAGTTCCTCCAAGCCCATCTTATCAAATTCCAGACAGAAAAAAGAATCATGGCCTATGTCCTTCTCCTAGTCAATTAAAAAAGAGCCATGAAACAATTTTTTCTAATTCAGAAACGATTTCAAGGAATAACGCTATTGTATGTGAAAATGGAGTAGATATTGAGTTTTCAAAAAGTAATACTGTCGAAGAACTTTCTACTGATTCCCAAAAACAAGTTTCTTTAAAAAATTTAAATAGTAATGAACCAGAAATGGTTGTCTCAAATCAGCCATCGAAATCAAAAAATGAAAATATTTTTCTGAATCCTCAGAAAAAAAGAAGCAATAAGTATGATCCACCTCCTCCATTGTCATTAGGATCAGATGAGCCTGGAACATTGCTGACTGATGCAACATCTACTTCAAATGTTTGTGAAATTTGTCCCCCTTCCCCACCTGTGCAATTTAAAGATCCACCTCAAGCTAATGGTAAAACTGAATCAGTTACGAAAAAGTCAGTAAAACCTACAAAACCTAAGCATAAAAGACACTCTTTAGAAATAGCTTCTAAAACCAGTTCTTCATGGTCTAATGATAGTTGCCTTACAAGCTTAATTTGCCAAGGTACTCTTTTTTTCCCTAAACCTCCTGCACAATTTGGAGATGAAGCAACTGAACCAATTTCAAACAATAAAAAAGACATTAATAGCTCTTCATCAGAGGATGTTTCTACTTCAAATGAAGCAAGTGAACAAGAGAAAAATACAGAAGAAAATGCAACTTCAAAAGTTGATTTGACTGAAAATAAAGAAAAAATTGCAGACAGTATTTCATTTTTTGATACAAAATGTACCATATTAGAAATGCTAAGTGATCTCTCTGAATCAAATCCTAATTTGCCTGATGACTCTGAAGGTAACACAACAATTTCTTTAAGTAGTATGAGTGAAAGGCAAAGAAGTTTCAGCCTGATTACTTCAAACTCATTTGAAGAAGATACGCCTAGTATTCGTCGAGCATCAGTTATTGGCACTGAAATGATTAGGTAAGATCATGTTTTTCTTTTTTGTGGTTTTACTCTCTAAGTTATTACGGATAAAATAAAACTGCACACCTGTCAACTGTCAGGCTTTTGTTCTGAGTCTCAGGTTTTTGACCTATGTTTCAGACTTGTGTTCAATCTCAAGACCTCAGGCCAACCAAGTATTGTTTCATCTTTTTCTTAATAACTAATATGAATTGGCAGACCCAAGCACGCTTTGCCTACAATCGCCAAATCTCTTTTTTCTAGATCAAGTGTGTTTGGTCTATTGTTAATTCCTTTTTAGAATTTTTTTTAAATTTTGAGTTGACAAATTAACTAAACAAAGTTTATTACTGCTTTTAACAAAGTGTTATACATATGATTTTGTTTTAAGAGCGTTCGACTATTTCATAAACTAAGATATTAGTTTATGAAATAGTCGATTCTGAAGTTTTAGTAGTATTTCAATTGTTTCTTGCAAAAAATATTTTATATGAAACTAATGCATACTTGCATTACTCTATGAAAAAACCTTGAAAAATCTCCCAGTTTCAACAACTGGTTTTTGTCTGATCTGGGTATTAAACGGGCAATGAAAATCTGTTTGGGTACCGGTAATTGTCTAGTCCCTGTTACATCTCTAGTTTCAACTATTAAAAAATAATTATTCCATTTTTAAGCTTTTTTTCTGACCTTAACAATATTAATTTAAGCTTTTTTATTTCATCTGTACCTTTATGCTAGGATAATATGCATCAGTTTGAAAGTTCTCTCTTCTCTGTTACTAGAACATTTTCAGAAATTATCTTATAAAGATGCTGCCTATATCCAATTGGTTTTAAGTTTACAGAGTAGATTAAACATTAAAAGCTATATCTCAGTTATTTTGATCAGTGTTCAATGTCACTGATGAAATAAAACATATTTCCCATTTTGGCAGTTTCTTATAGAAATAAATTTATTTGAAATTTAAATCTTAAAATAAAAAGTAAATTATACTTTATATTATTCTGAGTCAAAAATATTGCAAATGTTTTGAGCTTTCTTAACATAGCAAATACAATGTTTAATTGTAACTTCTGTTAAGTGCATGGTCAGCATCTAAACTCTCTTCTAATGTTTAGATATTAATGGTAAGGTTTTCAACAATGATACAGGTTTGTTGACAGAAAGTTTGCATGAAATTTTTTTAGCTTTTCATGTCACAATATCATTTATTTTTAAATTTTGTATGGTTATTAAAGAGTGTTTCAATAATAGAGGCTCAGTATATGCTCTTCGGTATGACCTCCCATTACAGCGATCCTTCCACCATACTGGTTGACATATGATATTCCATAGATGTTATTTTAACATCTGTTAGAACTATCAAACTGGACCAACCTTTCATGTTAATATAGAAGCTGGAATTTAGTTTGTTTTTCATTCTCAAGAAAATCACTTTAATAACCAGCCTGTTTCTTGCAATCAAATCTGTTTCTTTCATATTATTAAATAAAATTGTTGTATAGTGAAAAGCACAGGGAATACAACTGCTTGATATTTTTTTTATAATTAGAAAATATTTTATATGTGTGTATATATATATATATATATATATATANAACGATATAAATTAACAAATATATATATATATATATATAGCTTTCTAATGTAAAATTTTATATTTGTTGATTTGCAATTTTATTTCATTTCCCCCCAGTTTTGTTAAAGCTAAGGAAGAGTTTCGCAAACATCTTCAGTATCCCTGGTTATGGTACAGGTGAGAAACATCCAGTATTTTGTTTGAAACTTAATTATTTGTTTTGATTTATTTCTTATATTTTTATAAATCTGGTGCAAGCTGATTCAAGATAATTAATTATAAACTTGTATCTGTAGCTCCTTATTTGTGGAAAATAAAGAGATATATTTACTAAAATATTTTATTTCTAACATTGTTTCTGATAATCCTTTTGTTCATTAAGTTTTCACTTCATATCCAATTTTTTAGTCTCTTTGAATTTTTAATTTAAAGGAATATCTCTAATAAACTTTTAATTTTCTATAATGAAAAATTTTTATAATATGAATCTTTGTTTTTCAAATCTGTCATGATTCTCAAAAGTTGTTTTTTAATCTAATAAATAATCCGAAATATATTACACTCATCTCATGGGAACAATTTCCTATTATATTTACAACTATAATAAATCATAGTACGAAAATGGGTTTTAAAATGATAAAAAGAGGCTTATTTATGGATTCAAATTTATTAATCTATGATTTTTTTTTTTTAAACATTGGTGCGTAGCATTTTTAAAAAGTGCTTAAAGGTGCTTATTTTCCATTTTCGGTTTTTTAAATCATGATCATGTAAATTCTTTGAAAATTAGTTTGCATTTTGTTAATGTATATAGAGCTTAAAAATGATTTTTGAGTGCTTGAAAAGTACTTAAGAAGTTTTTTGTTGAGAAATTTGGCTATGCACCCTGTTAAAATTTATTATTTTTATTTATGCTCATAATAAACCAGAAAATCAGACAGGAAGATATCAAAACTTACTGAATAAAGAGATCATTTCCAAGGGGTCTGTTCAGGCCAAATTTACTACCCTTTAGCAGTACCTTCACAAGTTCAACTTTAGGAAAAACAGTTTCACAAAATACTTTTTCTTAAAATTTTATTTTTGTATCACATAAGAAACGATAAATCAATATTTTTACTATATTTTTGTGTTGAGTTTTTAGTATAATTTTTAATTTTTACAAATTATGTCTAAATTTTCACTGAATAGGTACCTCTCAGAAAAACCTAGACAGACCCCTGATTTAAAAACTCATTTTAGACATAATAAGTGTCAAAAATAGCTTTTAAATGACAAGTCAATAGCTATATCTTTTCAATAGCTATATCTGTTGAAAACTAATTTCAGTCAACAGAAAATTTCAAAAATCTTTGAACAGTCTGAAGATGAAAAAAAAAATCAACTAAGTTTTGTGCAATTTTATGGCATAAAATATAATCATAATTAAATGAATGTATAGTTAATTATTATTTGTTTATATAGTATTGAAATTATATTTAAAAATGTATTTTCACTTAAATTTCAGTTGGATTTATTTTCATAATTTTTTTTTTAAAATTAAAGATAGTTATTTTATAAAATTTGTTAGAAAAAAGTTTAAATATAAAACAATATTTTAATTGCATTTACAATTTTCCTATGATCACTTTATTAATAATAAATAAAAGCTAAGTGATGGGACTGCTATATTTATGAGCTTTAGACCGAATGAAATAAACTGTCGAAATCAGTCAAATGAAAGAATAGCTGAATACAGGCTTTAAGTGAATTTATTTTATTCATTAAATTATAATTAGCATGGCAATTTCTTCTTAATTCAAAAATCAGATTGGTTTGTTTTATTGTCAACAATGTCTTGACTTGGTAATTTAAAATATTCAAAGTTTAAAAAACTAAGTACTTAGTTTCTAGTAGATGTAGTGGCATACACTTGATTCTTTTTCCAAACTTGTCAGTTGCAGACTTTTGACAGCTAGTCAAAGAAAATCTCTGGATCTTCCTATTTTTTTAATTTTTTTGTTTCAGATAATAGCAAAAGACAAACTCAATTAAAACCCAATATTTCATTTTTAAAATTTTTTCTATTTTTTGCAAAAAATTATTTTTTTATGATCCTAAAATAATGATGTTTCTCAGTGACTTCCCTAGCCTGGCATCTGATGTTCCATATTTCCAGTGTGATAGTGACCTTAGAGCATTTAGTCCTGATGGCATGCATCTTGTAATTTGTGTTCATGGATTAGATGGTAAGAAATAAAAAGTAATTTAGTTAAATTCTCTTTATATCAAAACTGAAATGTTTAGAATTTTTTTTTTATTCCGATGATTAAGGAGTTAGTAAATGTAGAAAAATGAATAAAATGTGAGCACAAACTGTTAAAAACAGTTCATAGTGTACATTATTGTTGGAATACTATACCTAATTTTTGTTTTTTGAATTTGTAGGTAGTTTAAATTAACATCCTCTTGTCAAGAACTTTTCTTAATAGTGTAAAAAAGTTATTTGATAAAAGCTAAGTCCACTTGCCATCACTTATAACTATATTCTTATCAGTTAATGACTTGATTTATGACTAATGAATGTTTAGTATGATAAACTATAAACAGACAGAAAATAGATTAATTAAAGGGAGAAGATGTTAATTTAATCTATCTAATAAAATTCTTTTTCTACTCTCCTTTTCCCCAACTTGTTCCAAAGATATAACTTCAGATAAAAGTTAATATTAAAAAAAAACCTTAAATTCCAAAAGTAAATTAATCTGATTTAATTATAAGCAAAATAATGATATTAAACATGAACAAAATTGAGTAGTTTTTTTCAAAATTAAAACATTTATAATTTAATTGGAAACAAAGTGTTTCCGCTTAAGTTTTTTTCAGTCAGCATTAATATTCATCTTCATTAATATTTGAAGTTCATTAATTTTACCAAAACTTGTTTTCTTTAACTGCTCCTGTTTTTTCAAAATTTTTTCTAGTGTGCTTATTAAATTGGAATGCATATTTAGCTTGCAGAAACACGAAGAAATAATTATTTTTTTCACATACATGATATTTTGTAGCAGATCCCAAGCATAAAAATAAATTAGATTTTTTTTAAAGGAACAGAGATTCTTTAAAAAGTAGACCATTTCTGAGCATTAGTTTATTAGGCAAGTAAACTTGTCTATCAAAATGAATTTATTTATGAATATTTCATTGGGACAAGTTTGTTACTTTATAGTTTTCACTATGAATCAGTAATTTTACTTAGTTTCATTATACATTGAATAGTGATAATGAGATAAAAATGTAACTACATTGAAAAAGTTATATTTATTTGTTGTATATTTTTCTTACTATTTCATTGATAACTATTTTATAAAAGTAAATATTTTTTACTAACAGGAAACAGTGCTGATTTACGTTTAGTTAGGACTTATTTAGAACTTGGATTGCCTACTGTAAACTTTGAGTTCCTTATGTCTGAAAGAAATCAAGTATGAATATGTTTTTTTTATTTTTATTTTTTTTATAGTAGCTTAACCATTAGTCTGCTTAACTACTTAGTATTTGGTATGCTAAAGCATGTTTTTTGGGCTCACCCGTTGTTCCAGCCATAAGCAGAATGTTAATTGAATTGAATGCGAAATAATTGGTGCCTAGTAAAAATATTCTGTAGCATGTGCTTGTCATGCGTTGTATCGAATTTTTCTAGCTACACATTCAAATAAAAAATTCATGAATTAATTTTGTAATTTGTCTTATTGCAATGACTTCTTGACTTTATTTAGGAATATCTACCAATAGTTTCCATAAATTTCTCCAGTTTATTGTTAATGTAACTGTTCCATGCTATTTCTTTTAATCTTTCTTTTATTTTTGAAGAAAGCATATATTTAGGAGTTATTCCTATTAAATTGAATCCTCTAAATATTAACTACATATTTTTGTCAATTTGATATTAACGTTAGACCTTTAAACTTTTTTTTTGTAAGATATCTTTGTTATTATAGACATAACATTTGTACATCATAGTTTTATAAAAAATTTAAATTTCATTTGAGCCTTAAATTTATTTCAAATCTCTTATCTTTTTCACATTAAATACATTATGTATTACACTTGACTTATCATTATTTAATGTAAAATAATAAGTTACTGCATACTTTCTAAATTGTTATTGTTTTTAATTCACAAACTATTGGCAATTTTTTTATAAGAAGTCCTTTTTCTTAATTAATAAACCGTTTTTTAATTCACAAATCAGTTGCAAACAATAAACATAAGTTTTTGTTCAGACGAATTGTTCACCTATAATCTGAAAATAAATTAATGAATTTTTAAAAGCTGCTACAGGGTGCGTAGTGTTTTTAAAACGTGCTTATTTTCGATTTTTGTTTTTTAAAAGCCCTTAAAGCTGCTTTTTTCATTGGGTATTTTTCAAAAGTGCTTATTTTTCCCTTTTTCAAAATGAGATTTTTCTTTACTATGTTGATCTTTGCTTCGAATTATGCTAAAGAAGCAGTTAACATTTTTTCTTTGAACGTTTTCACAATTAATTCAACCCCAATCTATTTCAACATAGCGTATTGTCAATCCGTAGCGTATGAAGAAAAAAATTTGTTTCACATGATCCAAAATTTCATGGTTTTTGACAATTGTCAAAAACAATGCCAGAATGTTTTTTTTTTTGACATCAAGGTTAAAACAAGATAAAACCGTTAATTGTCAAGAACTTTCCAACCCTGCGTAGTTATGATAGTTTTTTAAGTGCTTAAAAATATTTTTTGAATGCTTGAAAAGTGCTTAAAAGGTGTTTATTTTTTGTTGAATAATTTGACTATGCACCTTGTGCTATATTAAGTTGTATTTGAAATTTTTTACTTGTTTTGTTTTTTAGGGTGAAACATTTGATGATTTTGATACAATGACTGATCGATTAGTTTCTGAAATAACTTATTACATAGAAGTGTATGGTTTAAAACCTGTTAAAATCAGGTAAGAATTAATTCTGTGAAGTTAAAAAGTTTTTCTTGGTTAACATCTGTTAATTCTTAGCCCATAAATTTAGAGAAATTGTTCCTAACACCCTTTACTAGATGGCTAACATATTATTGCATTGCTTTTCAGTTTCATTGGGCATTCCTTGGGAAATATAATAATCAGATCTGCCATAACAAGACCAGAAATGAAGCCATATCTTTGTAAACTACACACATTCCTATCTTTGTCTGGTCCTCATTTAGGAACATTATATAATAGTAGTGGTTTGGTTAATATGGGTAAGCTAAAAATTACAATGCTCTAAGTCTATGTAATATAAAGTTATTTCTCTAATAGTATAATATATCATGCTCTAGTTTTTTAAAAATATTATCCTTTATCTAGTCTCTTTTACAACATTTTAGGTATGTGGTTTATGCAGAAGTGGAAGAAGTCTGGTTCATTACTACAATTGGCTATGAAAGATGCTTCAGATCTTCGTCAAACATTTTTGTATAAACTGAGTCAGAAATCAGGTGATATTTTTTACAATTCAAAATTTAGTTTCTCACAATATCAAGGATATTTCTAAATTTATTTTAATTTTTATTGAAGGTTTGGAGCATTTTCGCAATATATTATTATTCGGGTCTTCCCAAGATCGTTACGTACCTCTACATTCTGCTCGAATCGAACTCTGCAAACCTGCCCTTAAAGATACGTCCTTACAAGGTATTTGGAACCTATTTCGCATTTGCATGTTTGTATTTTATGGAGATATAACATAAAAACTTGGTAGCTTTAAATTAAAGTTTGATCAAAAGTAAAAGTGGTTTTCATTGTGAATTTTAAAATTTTGAATTTTTTACTTAACCCCTTACCTGCCAAGTAAAATTTACGTGATTCTCTCCCCAGTGCCACCATTTTTCACTCAAGTGCGCTTTGTTACGCGATGTTTTGGTGGGGGAAAAGATGCACGCTTTGCAATTTAAAAACAGTTCACTTTCACAAGAGAAGAAAAAGGAAAAATAGAAAATAAAAAACTTAAACTAAAGAATAAAAATACAATATAAAAGATGCTAAAACTTAGCTGTTGTATGATAAATCCTGAAACATGGTTGGACACATAAACCAACGTCTCATTCATTGCACTGATTGCGGGATTCACGACGAATATACACGAGAAACGAAACCGAAAGAAGAATAAACCTGACCTCACTCAAATAGAAAAACACAAGCAATAAATACGATGATATCACTTTTCTAACACATCCCTTTCCCATTTCCCCTTCCACCTGCTCCGAAATTGATAATACATTCGTTGCAAACATTTTCAAGGTCATTTTACTGCATTTAGAAGTCGGGAGTGTAGTTCCATTTATAGCAGCGCAATGCAAAACATCGTACTTTGGGAAAGCGTATATATATGCCTGCGGCAGTTAACGCATCGTCTGGCCGAGACGTATACATATAGGCTCGCGGCAGTTAAGGGGTTAATAGTGAATATTTTATTTACTTCTCAAGCATGTTCGAGCAATATGTTTTGCCCTTTTCTAAACTTTTTACGGAATTTTTTTTTAATATTTCATATTTATACATGATTTCATTCCTGTTATGTAAATCACATTCTCTTAAAATCTTTAGATAATAAAAATTGCATTTGTAATTCTAAAAAATATAAACATTATATATTTCTGTTATTTTGAACCAATCTTTGCTAAATGAGCAGTTTCTTACCAGTGGTGAATAGAAAAATCGTATGTGGTACGTATAGATACTTTGAGAGTTTTGCACTTTTTTTAAATACAAGAAAAATATGGCTAATATTAATTTGCTGTATTTAATATCATTTAGAAATAGTAAACTTAGCCATAGATTTCGGAGCATTTTGTGTTCGAAGTAAACAAAAGTGCATTCTTTATTGACAATTTAAGCTTTGAGATAATTGATTTTCATTAAGTTATATATCTGTGTCACATTCCCCTTTATTTAAATAAAATAGTTTACTATTGACAATTTTTTATTTATTAGAAAAACGTATAGAATATCATTCATAATACAGGGATGTGATTCTTCCTCAGATTCGAAGATTTCCGTTTTTTATCAGATTTTTGCATTTTTTCCGCTAATTTCCGTGGAAATTTTTTTGCACAAGTTAAAATATTTTATGAGGAATTTAATTTTCTGCGGAGTGAAAGTATTGGAAGTCCTTATTCCTCCCTCTGAACTTTCTTTAAAAATCATTTTCTTGAGATAAAACTTTATACAGGGATGAAATTTTTTTTTGCTTTTGTCTCGCAAATTTCAGCCTGTTTATCAAAAGCTCCGATTCTCTAAAAGTATATATTTTTTTTTATAAATATATAATTTTTTTTGAAAATTTAGTCATTGAAATAAAGTAATTATATTTATTTACGATTTTCAAAGATAAGCAGAAAATTCAAACTATGTCCTAGCTGCTAACCCTTCCGCATTTTTTCTTATTATAGTTATTTTCTCCGCTTATATGCACAGAAAATAAGATTTTCCGTATTTTTATTAGTCCTTTGTATAGCTCGTATTTTCGTTATTCAGACGTCGCTGCTTCCTGTTTTCTGGCGTGAAAGCAAAAAAAAAAAAAAAAACAAAAAACAAAATAGAGGTGGATTTGCAGTGAAAATATTTATTTGCTCATTCAATTAATTTTGTAAATATTTATTTATTAAAATCCAATGTCGTAATTCATTTTTGCAGTTGTAATATTGAACATCAATTTTCGTATTTATAGTGCTTTAAAAATTAGACATTGGGATTCGTATTTGCTCGATTTAAAAATTATGCATCATGATTCGTATATACATGATCTAAAAATTACGCATCACGATTTGTATTTTCACATTTTTTTAAATTCAATATAGAGTTTCATATTCACATGATTTAAAAGCCTCATATCGGGGTTCATATTCTCTCAATTTAAAATCATGCATGTGATTCATATTCATATATTCATACAGATTTAAAATTAATCGTCGTAAAATAAATATCACAGGTTTACAAGTTTAAAAATTTCACTTTTTTGTGAAATATTTTGATATATATATACACACATATAGTCAAACCTTGATATCTCGAACTTGAAGGGAGAGGAGAAAAAATTTGAGATACCGAAAATACGAATTATCTAAAATCGCATGTTATCGATAATAGAATAAAGAAAAATGCTCTTTACATGCCTTATTTACTATTCCATATGTATTCTAAAAACACTTTTTACACTTTCATTTAGAAAAACATTCAATTGTTGTTTGCTTTAGAGATGTGTGAGAAAGTTTGTCTGTAACACTTTCTAAGTGGACTAAAACTTTAAATGACTCCTCTGACATATTTGGTTGCCTCTCAAATAAATCTCCTTACAGTGTCCACTGCAGAAAGTGCTTGTTTGTTAGTAACATTGGGCGGTAAATCTTCGATTTCCTCATCCTCTTCTTCTGATAGTTTGCAAGAAGCTTTCGTTTGAGCGATGATATCATTGTCATGCCACTGACCACACACTGCTACTGCATCATCTACGTTTACAAAGTTATGAAATTCCAATTCGTCAAGTTTCATGAGTCCGGTCAATCTGTCCCAATCATTTTCATGTAGTTTTCAGCAGAATTAACCATATTGATTGTTTGGCTACTGTCGTGATCTTTAATGAATCCAGCCTTCTTGAAGCCATTCATTATCGTAGAGAGAGACACATCATTCCATGCACTGACATCTTTATGTCCATTTTTTTTAAAAAAGTTTATCATTATGAAAATTGGTTTTCTATTCTTAAAATGTTTCATTTTTTTTGGAATAATTTTTTATTTTCAGAAAAAAAAATCTACACTATTTATGAAGAAATCTAAACTATTATGGAAGTTATCGAGGGATTAGAAAAAAAAATGAAATAAAGTTTTTTTTTAACATTGAGTGTATAGGAAATTTGAAGGGAATTTTTTTTCCTTTGAGATACCGAAAAATTCGTGAAATCGAGGTTCGAGTTAGCGAGGTTCGACTGTATATATATAGTGAAGAAAACAAATGGAGTAGGAAACCTAAGATTGCAAGTTCCAAACTTAAATAGCTTATCTTCAATATTAATTATTTGTTTTACAAAAATAAATTAATGAATATCAAATCTACCATAGCACAGACAGACAAAACATAGAGGACAAAAGATCCAGGATATTTTCATTTTAAATTTATACATTTGCTTTAGTGCTATCTGCAGGTCATAATTTTAATAAATGAAAACATAACAAAAATCAGTTTTTTTTTAATATTTAGTTTCTTAATTCCTATAACATAAGACTATTCAGTACTTTGTCTGTCTTTAGTATATTGTTCTTTTTTGATATTCAGGATTGCATAATCTACTTACTTTTATCTGACAAGACAATTTAAATTGAGTGTTAATTTTTAAACATCAATAAATTGGATGCTTTCAAACTTGTCAAATTAATAACACTTATTTATTTTATGTAAGTTATAACTTAGGAAATACATATTTTTTTGTTTTAAATAAAAGAGGAAGAATTTTGAATAATTTTGTTTATTTGTCAGATTTTTATTTAAGTTTTAAAAATTATGAAAAAGTGTTTTGAGATTAAATAAATAAATAAAAAGTTAAATATAGAATACCATTTTCATATGTTTATTTGCAAGATTTATTACTTCTTTATTAATTAAAAATTGCCCTTACCATTTAAAATCTTCCTCACAAAGTAGTAAATTTCTGATAAATCTTTTGATTTTTTTTTTTTAAATATATGCATTACATCTGTGAATAGCATACCTAAGTTGTTTTCTCTCAAGAAAATATTTATTGTATGTCTTATCTGCGAAAGTGCACAGCGTTGTTCTGTCCATTTTGTATAGCCTATCTGTTGCAGTCCTGGGCTACAAATTGGTATATGGATTGAAGAATTTTGTGCAAATACAATGTTTTTTTTTTGTAATCTTTTTGAGGGCACATGTTTTTAAATATTTGAGGACGAATCTGGTCATCTTGAAATTTTGATCTAGCCTTAGAAGATCAAATAGGATATTGATTAATGCAATAGTATTTGAAATTTTTAAAATTTTCTTTTGCTATGGTGTATTAAAGTATGAAATTTTCTTTTACTACAATTATAAAAAAAGGTTTCTACAATTTATAGGGTTAGGTGGGATAAAGTGAGGATATGTTACAAAAACATTTATTTTCTCCTTTTTAATTGAGATAACTCATTTAATATTTTTAGAGACATTTACTAGGATTGTGGCAAGCATTTTTATTTATGTTTTAGAAGCTGATAAAAAATTTGATGTCCACAAACTGTTTTGATCAACTTATGCAGTATGTTAGTTTAAGATATTAATGAACTTTCTTGTAATATTATTAAAAACTAGCAAAATCTAACTTTTAGTTCAAACTGGTAGAGGGATATCCAAAGGACAGATCTACATAGAAATTTAAGTGTAAATTTCAAAATTATATTTATTATGAATTGTTTTCTAAGGTGGGGTAAGTGGGTATATGGTTATGCTTAGCTAAATGTTGTAAGATAGGGATATTTCTTTTACTTCTGTGTTAGCTTTAGTAAGCATCTAATATTTTATAATGAAATAGCTAAAAAATAATTAGCTTGTTTGATTATAGCCCCTAATTTTAACACTGAAAACAAATTTTCTTTTAAATTTTATTGTTTTGAAGAGAAGAGAGATAGGGGGAAATAACAATATTACAGACATATTATAAAATTAGATTGTCAATTGATTAGACAATTAGATTACAATGTCAATTAAAAAGATGACCAAAATAGCATAATGATACTACTTAGCAAGCATATCTAAAGATATAGATGAGTTTTACTTTTCACACAAGTTTTTGCCTTCATATGGCAGTTTTTTCATGGAAAATAAAACAACTTTGTCAAAATAACTAAATAGAATAAAAATACATGTCTGCTATCCATAGTAAAAGCACTTTAAATTATCACTATAGATATTAATTTTTACACTCAAATTTATATTTCAAATAAGCCAAAAACTGTTACAATATTCTTGTTTTTTCATGAAATTATGTTGAGTTCAGCAAATAATACGGCATCTGAAGTGAAACCTAACTTTGCTAACCATGAACATTAACTCTAATAATATGACAGAAAAATATTTTTTGGCATTTAGTTTTTTAAATATAATCATGATACATAATGGGTCTATCAAAACATGCTCTTTTGAATGCATTACTGTAAAAATACAAACAAACGAAGTTGGTAAGTTATGTTTCATATTTAATTTATGTGAATCCAGTGTTTATGAAATGCATCAAAATTTTGGGTAAAATAAATTTAATGGTTTGGTTTTAGAGCCTTCTTTTAAAAAAGATAGACTTAATACCCACTTTACCCCACCTGATCTTATATAGTTGTACTACCAAGATCAAAAATTTGAGCTACTGGTCAAAATGTGAAATAATTTGTATAAAAATTGTAAGGATTAGTTTCCTGTGAAATACATTTAAAAGTTCAAATCAGATTAGCTTCTTTTTTATCTTTAACTTTTTTTTCATAAAATTTAAGTACTTTTTAATTTCTTTTTAAAGATAGGGATATTCAATTATTAGGATTGTTCAATTATCTCAAGAAATATGCATCTGTCAAAAAATCTAAAACTGCAAGTGTATAATAATATTTTTAAAAGTTTTCATGGATACCCAACTCAACTCCCAATCTCACCCCTTGGAAGAGAGAGGAGCAAGTTAAATTTAAAATATTTATCCCTATTTTTTATGGCAGATTTAAGTTTTCTAAGAAAAGAATCCCAGTTTGAATTAAAGGTAGTTGCATTTTGGTTCTTAGATGGCACTTATAATATAAAAATGGCGCTCAATTGTTTCAGATGAAGATACATTGAATTACACATATCTTGAGAAATTAAAAAAAAAAAAAAAAAAATAGACGAATTGTTTGATTTTTTTTATATGACACTAAACTCGACCCACTATCTGAGGTTAAAGTGATTCTCAGGGGTTGGGGCCAAATTGACACTTTCAGCAAAATTAGATAGGTTTTTCAAATGATTAGACTTCTCTATTTTTATTTCTTCTATCTGACAGGCATTTCTTTAGCTGTTTTCATTTTAAATTATTCGTGTTTCATCTTCATTTTAGGATTACAGTGCATCCATGAATAAAAATACAATAACCTGTAGTCAAATTGATGTATTTTTCTGTAAAATTTCTATCTGGATGTTTATAGTTGATATTTTGAAGTCATTCCCACCCTTTTCCTTGTGAGTGAAATTGAGTTGAGTTGAGTTTGGGGTCATTGCATGCATCTTTTGAATAAATTTTACTTGTGCATTCTAAGATTTATTAGATCCAATGCATAGTTTTGTAGATATGACAGTTTCCATACTTTTTGAACATTCTGTTAAAAATTAAACATGAAATAAAAACTATAATATAAAATTGTCTATACTTTGCTTAGTAAGTACATCAGAATTAAAAAATGTCTAAATTTTTTATGTATAGATTTTGATTTTCAGTTGAGACAAATGAAGAAATATTTTGCTCTTATTGTAATTATTCTACTATTTTGTTTTGAAAAGATGCATTTAAGATTTGATTCTAATTATTATACACGTTTTTCTGTTAGACTTTTTAATTCTTTGCCGTAGTCAAACATTCAGAAAATAATTTCTAACAAACATTGTAAAAATGAAACTCTTAGGATCAAATATTTTATTGAAACTTCTTAAAGCAAAATGTACTTCTAAATTAAATGTATTAATTTGTGTTCTTTTAATACCTAGTTATATATTGCATTATATATTGCAGGTGTGGTTTATCGAGAAATGGTAACCAACCTTATGCAGCCAATCATCCAAAATCCAGATATTGCCCTTCTAAGGTATGATGTCCATCATGCTCTGCCTAGTAGTGCGAATTCTCTGATCGGCCGGGCTGCACACATAGCCGTCTTAGACTCAGAATTATTTATTGAAAAATTTTTAGCTGTTTGTGGATTGAGGTTTTTTATCTAATTTGTAAACATATAAAAATAAAAATGTTATGATTGCTGTGATCTTAAAACTGTAGTTTAAATTGAAATAGTCATTAATGGTGCCAGAAAGGGAAATCTATTGTTTATTCTGAGATAATTTAAATAAAATGTGGCAATGGATAAAAAGCCCAAACATTTGTATAAAGTTTGTGATACTATTTTCAATTTTATACTTGGTGCATCTTTATACATTTAGCAGTAGTTGCTTCTAAGACCGAAATCTAGAAAATAAAATATCTTTTTATATGTGGAGTACAGTAAAAGACTGGAAAACTTAGTTAAATATGGAAATTGTTGTGTTTTTGTTTAAATTAAATAAATGTTTATCATTGTTTTGTGTATCTTATTTATTCTGAGATCTGATATTTATGTTTTCCTTTGAGCTATTATATATAATTTATTTATTTGTTGAGTGTAAGTTAATAATATCTTTTTATTACAATTTTTAAAATTCAAAACTGCCATTTTTATGAATAAAATTTAGTTCTGTTTTAATATCTATCTATCATTATATTATTTTTTGTGCAATAATATACTTGTTATATAGTTTTATTTAATAATTTATAATATGTTTTTAGCTATGCATTTGTTGTTTTTTAAGTTCAGAATATCATTTATGGATGAGAAAATTGTTGAATAATTCTACATTTTAATTGAAGTATAAATTTTTTTAGCTGTAGAAATTAGTGTAGATATAATGTGAAATCTAGTTGAAACTAGCTAGTGTAATGCCCTAAAATGAGGAAAAAAAATGCTAATATATTCATTTTATATGTCATACTCCAATTTTGTTTGGGATTATTCATAAAATAAATTTGAGACAAGTGTAGATTAGTTAGTTGATGCATGTTTTTGTTATAAAATACCCTAGAAAAAAATAATATAAGTAAAGTAATATTTCTGTCCATTATATATAGTTTAATAAAATGCTTATTAAAATCTTAATTTGTATTTTCAACTTATTGATTTGAAAATCTTTCAAAACAATTGAGAGCATTGCCTAAACCATATCCACATTAAATATAATTTATAATTAATATTATTAAATTTTTTTTTTTTTTACTTTTATTCCTTTTTTATTCAACCTACTTGATTCTTACAAAAAAATGTGAACCTGAAATTTATGGCATAAATTTATAATAATTAATTGTAATCCTTTTTACATTCATTACATTGTAAATCTATTTAATTTGAAGTAGGTTTTTAAATTAGGATATAGTTCATATTTATGAAACTATTTGATGCCTAACTCTTTTTTTTATTAAGTTTGTAACAGTGTTATCAAAAGTTAAATTAGTGATTTCCAAGTATGCTTTATAAAACAGTATAACAGTTTTATAAATCATAACTATTTTTTAAGGAACAGAATTATTTTTAACCTTTATGAGACATGGAAGCTTAAAAAATAATTATACTTTTAGGACAGGAAAAGATTTCTTTATCTCCACAGAATTGAATAGTTAAATTTATTTTCTTTTAAAAGGTCACGTTGTTTTTTAAAATAAAAGAAACACAGTTATTCCATTTTCAAAATTTAGGAAAAACAAAAGAATTCTACATCCATTTTTTAAACAAAATTATGCAGATATTTTTTAAAATTAGTTTTTGTTCTATTATTACATATCAGAACACTTTGTTAATTTGCTTATTTTTTGATAAAGTTTATAATCTGCTTTCTCAAATAGAAAGGGGGACATTTTAGGAATAATCTGTTAAAAGTAGAGCTTGTACTTTGCTATTGTCAAGAGGACAATTTTCAAGGTATTGTTGTACCTTACCTATCTTTAAAGGAATTTTATCTTTAGTACAAGTGCCATTTACAAGCAATCTCCAAAAGATCAATGAGAAATAAATCTAATTACTTGTATATGTAGCATATAAGTATTCTTAGAAAATTGAAAATTTAATTTGTTCTTTAGCATTTTGTTTCAATTATATTTATACATTTTTTTACACATTCAATATTTTAATTAATTAACTTATATCACATCCCTTAATTTAATGAACTTTTAAAAGCTTATTACTAATTTCAGCATTTTTTTTCTACCATTTGTTTTGAAAGAAAGATACTGACAGTTTTCTTTTACTGTTCTTGTTCTACAATCTATTTTTTTAAAAATTAAATTGACTCTCGATATATGTGGAAAAACATTATCTGTTTTACTGCATTGTTAATACCTGCATTAATGACTTATTAATTATCAATGTCAATTAAAAAAAGCAATTATTGTAATTGCAAATAATTAACTTTTTAAGAACTAAGTAAAGAAAAAAATGGAAAAATGCATTAGATCCCTAACAGACTTAGAAAATAGTGTGTACATCCCATTTAAAAAGATTTTTTCTATTGCTAAACTGACTAGTATTAAATTATTCGATAAAACTCTCTTATTAACTTGTTAATGTTATATATGGGATACAACATCTATGGGCAACATCTTGGAATCATTTATCTTGGTATAACATATATGGGGCCCTATCATGAGCTACTAGGAATGGAATGATTTTTGGCTGGAAAGTAAAACTGGGAATATTTGGTTCCATGAACGTTCAATATCATACCATGAACGCCCACTTAGTATCAGACATTCCATGATAACTTATTCTAAGGGCGTGGCTAAACCTTAACCAATCACCCAATTTACTTAGGATTTTCTTTTTAAGTGTGGCAACATTAGCATGAACGAAACGAAACTGATTTATTCTTTTTTTATAATTTTCTTGCTTTCATAAGACTGAAATTTTTAAATTTTTTGTTGTTGTAAATACTTAAAATTATTCTTTAATCTCTCTCTCTCTTTATATGTGAGTGTATATATATTTTGATTTTTTTTATATGACACTAAACTCGACCCACTATCTGANTATATATATACATATATATATACATACATATAACTATATATATGCAGATATATATACATAAACACATATTTTTTTTATTAAAATCTATAATATAATTTATCTTGTATAATTCTTATAATAAAACCATTTTTTCATTAATAAATATTTTAGATACATTCTTAAATATGTTTTATTATTTTCTTAATAAAATAATTTTTTTTTAAAAGTGCAGCTTTTAAAATAATGCATATATTTTAATGAAGTGAGATACAAAATTTTGTACCAAAAATAGAAATTAATTACTGGTCTTTTAGAAACTAATTAATTGAATTTCAGAAAAGTTCATTGGGTATGACTTAAGTTACTACTTTACTTATTACTTTGTATCCTTTGTTACATTATTAAAGTGACTGTTTTTACTGATAGTTAAATGTCTTCACATGAAACTACATTAATTTAGAGATTTTTGTAAAAAATTTCTCGTGATTTGAGAAGTCATTTTACGTATAGAATACTTATAAAAGCATAGTTCAAGCAGCTACTTTCACAGCTTTTATATTATATATTTCAGTGGAAGAAGGAGAATAAAATGTTTTAAAATTAGTAAACGAAGAAATAAATATTTATTTCATAAATATTTTCAAAACCTTTTTATTCTAATTACTTTTCCTGTTATTCTTATTGATATTTTTTATTGTAAATAGATTTTTTTCTTTATAATACATCCCTGTAACAAATTCTTTCAAATGTGCTGCCATTTGTGTATTGTACAAAGAAGCATTTCTTGGAATAAAGTGAAAATGCTGTTGAATTAAAATGTTATCAATCAAGAGTTAAAAAAAAGAAATAAATGATATCAAAAGAGGTATTGACCAGAGAATATGTTCTGTAACATAGAAATAGAACAAATATATCATGAGACAAGTGAGTATAATTTATATGAGTTAACTATTCCATAATTTCTTAATTAATTCTTAAATTATCTTTTCGTTCTTCACAGGTACTACTGAAACAAAATATTTCTCTTTCAATTATCTTGAAAATTGCTTAGGCATGTTTTCTTTCAGGAAATTTATTATCTTCTCTTGTGTAATAGGAAAAAAATTAAGACATTTATCAGCTGCATATCATAATTAGTACTCAAAATTCATCATTCCATCCAAGAATGAGTATTCTGGTTAGTAGATACCGGCAGGAAAAAAACCATTTGAGTTTCTTGCCAAGAAACAGTTTCCAAGAGGTTCATGGTGCCATGAAAGAAATTCCCGCTTACCGTGACGACATTTCCTAATGAAACTTCATTCCATGGAGCTCATGGTAGGGTACTTGGGGAGATTTTAATTTCAAGTAGTTTATTTCATTCAGTGGGATATATGTTTATATGTTACCACACTAGGTGGGGTTGACAATATTTCTAAATATACTTGTTATCTATTACAACATTTCCCACATTTTAATATTGTGTATTTTATCACAAAATAGATTTCAATGATAATCTATGTGGGAAGAAATTTTATTCCCTTCAATAATTTATTTCAATATTTTATTTGAAAAATTGGCAACTATTTTGAGCTTATCTTGAACCCTCATATCCCACACCATGGTCATGATTTTGACTTAATTAGCTTTTTATCAATAGTACTGATAAATATAATAATTTTTTCTTAAAAGAAATTAAAATAATCTACTTGAGATATTTATTCTATTATGAAGTTATTTAATAAAAGTTTATTTTTAATTTATGTTCTGAAATTTTTTGTGATTGTAATCTTTATGTAATTATATTAAAATAATAATTTTTTCTATTTGTATCATGCTATGAATTTTCTTACTTGTCATATGTGAATAGAGTTTTTTTTATTTCAAAATCATATATTTAATTTTTTAATTTATATGTTGATTTCCCACTTTGATCTCTTTGCCAAAACAAACTGGAAAAATAGTTTTATTGCATATTGGTATATATTTCAGATAGAAATTATAAAATAATACTTAATAAACGAATCAAACTTGTTCAGAGTTTGTCTTTATTCTAATAATTTATCTTTAAAGGTAACTGCATAAATATGGATATGTAATTTGAATGATTATTCCTCAATTTGTTATTGTAGAACCAATGATAATGTTGTGCCTAAAAGTTTGAAACCAATTGTAATGTAAGAATGATGCATTCTTAACAACAAGATTCCAATGTTCTTTTTGGTTATAAAATATAATGCAAAAATACTTTATAAGTTTTTATGACTACTG